GCGTTTAGGCGTTTAGGCGTTTAGGGTTCACGGGTTTGGGGTATTTAGGGTTTAGGGGTTTAGGGTTCAGGGTTTAGGGGTTTAGGGTTCAGGGTTTAGGGTTTAAGGTTTAGGGTTTAGGCTTAGGAGTTTAGGGTTTAGTGGTTTAGGGTTTAGGGTTTTGAGGTTTAGGGTTTAGGGTTTAGGAGCTTAGGGTTTAGGGGTTTAGGGTTTAGGCTTTAGAGCTTGGCCTACTGTTTCCTGAAATCTTGTCCGGAGCGTTGCTGATCTCTGGGTGTTGCATGGCTGCCCGAAGAAATGCGCAACTCGTGACAGCCAACCACAAACGATGCAAAGGTTATCCACGTACTGAGGGGTTGAAGCGGGTTTTCGAGCTAGAGATTTCGGGTTTAGGGTTCAGGGTTTGGGGGTTTTCAGTTCCTTGACAACTAGAGCCCGGGCCTTGGCAAGCAGGTCCTTTCCACGGAGGCTCATCGTCACCCAGCCCTCGCAACGAGCAAATGCTCCACGTGCGTTCCCTAATGCCTAACACCGTGAATTCAGCTATTGAGGCGCTGTGTGGTTGAGGTTCCTAGATTCGCAGGCATCCAGGAACCAGCAGTTGTCTTCTGAAGGATTTTCTGTTTGAGTATCAGGGGACTCTGTCCTGCCCTGTAGGTTTCCCATGAGAAAGATGAGCTGGAGGCTTGAACTTTCATGCTTCGAAATTTTACAGTTCAGGGTTTAGGGTTGAGGGGTTTAGGCGCTCAGTGGTAAGGGTTTCGGGTTTAGGGTTTAGGGTCTAGGAGATAATGACAAGAAGAAGTGGCAGACGCAATGCTTCCACAAAGGAGCTTGCTGGTTCTTGACACTACAGTACCTAGAGAGTCATCCGATGCCCCCTTTTTTCGGGTACCTGCTTTTCTATCTAAGAGATCCTAGCCATAAAATGCGGTACCCTGAAAGCTTGGTAGGGTATGACCCTCTAAGGTACAGCGGGGGGGTCCCATGAACGCGTCAGAGGGTCTAGGAAGGCTTGGAGTTCCTGGAGCGCCCATCTACGAAATGCCCGCGGCGTAACTTTCTCCCTCTTCTGGGGTTTAGGGTTTAGGGTTTAGGGTTTGGGGTTTGGGGTGTTCACTGACATGATTCTGCTTGAGGAACCGGAGGAAGCGGAAACGAAGGACACAACTTAAAACTGGCTCTGTGCGCTTTTTTCGCTTACGAACTTACTCCTCTGCTTACGAAGGCCTTCCCAGACCCCCAAAAGGATCTAAAACATAGATCCCCTAAGTATGGACCCTAACTACTAAAGGGTACTTTATAGGAACCCCCTTAGGGGATCTATTTTTTAGATCCTTTTGGGGGTCTGGGTTACTAAGCCATAAACCCTGAACCCCAATCCTGAGCCTCCAATTCTTGCGGGCCCTTAGAACCCAAATAAGCAAGCAGCGTTTTTGTTGGGGAGTCCCTTTGGAGTTTGACTATAACATTACACTAAAACCCTAAAACCACATACCAAAAATATGTCCCAGGAACACCAAAGCCCCAAAACCCTGAACCCTCGACCCTAAGCCCTCAACCCTAAGCCCTAAACCGCTAAACACCTAAACCCTAAACCCTAAATCCCTAAACACCTAAACCCTAAACCCTAAACACCTCTAAACCCTAAACCCCAAACCCTAAACACCTATAAACCCTAAACCCTAAACCCTAAACCCTAAACCCCAAACCCTAAACACCTCTAAACCCTAAACCCCAAACCCTAAACACCTATAAACCCTAAACCCTAAACCCTAAACCCTAAATCCTAAACCCTAAACCCTAAACCCTACACCCAAGGGGTCTCACAGGGGGTCGCCTCCTGGGGTCCTGTGCCCTGAAGGAGCTCGTAGCGGATGCGGCCGTTGTGCGACTCCAAAGCGCGGATCTGGCAGTCGGCTTCAGGGCTTTGGGTTAGGAAGTTTAAGGGTTTAGGGTTTAGGAAGTTTAGGGTTTAGGGTTAGGAAGTTTAAGGGTTTAGGGGTTAGGGTTTAGGAAGTTTAGGGTTTGGGGTTTCGGAAGTTCAGGGTTTAGGGTTTAGGGTTTCGGAAGTTCAAGGTTTAGGGTGTAGGGTTTCGGAAGTTCAAGGTTCAGGGTTTAGGGTGTAGGGTTTCGGAAGTTCAAGGTT